CTTGGAGTGTAGGGTCTGGACCTTCATGGAAACTCTTCACATGCTCAACTCTTGAGAAATATTTTCAGCTGGTTGAATAATAGTCACACCAAACCTTAAACCCCAAATCCCAAACCCCAAACCTTTAAACCTTAACCTTATACCTGAAACCACTATGGCCTGGCTTTCAGGCCCAAGCTTGATCACCATCGGCTTGATGTACAGGCCGTGATGCTTAGAAGTAGGCTCCCATGGTAATTGCACGTAGCCTAGCTATGACCATGAGGAGGATCATGCCGGTCTAGTTGTTCCCAAACCCTTCCTACAAAGCGTATGTAACCCAAACTCTGAACCTCAAACCTAAATCGACCCCGCAACCTGCACCCTACACCAAAACTGACCCCCTTAAGCTTGCATCTTTGATGACGCAGGCAATCCACAGGCTTTATAACCACACTGTAGCAGACGGAGCGCAGGAACTGAAAGCCATAGCAAGTGTTGCTCTTGAGCACCAAGTTTTCAACCGTACCAGCCCACAATCATAAAGGGTCCAAGGACCAAAGAATAGGGCTTTAGGGCCCAAATACCATTAACATTATAGTATTTGGGCTGTAAAACCCCTTTACTTGGGTCCCTGGACCCTTAGGAATAGCAGTATGTGAAATCTCCTTCGCTGCAAACTTGGAGGCCGCTTATCCTACGGGAACTCTAATCTCAAAGACCAACCCTAGAAGCGCAACCAATATCGACCCTGAACGCAAAATCCCTGTACCTCTACACTACCCATTTCATGTCTCATGGTGTTTTCCATTTACTGCCCCACTGTTGCCGTACTGATTCTATATAACCCCTAAACCCGAACCATAAACCCTACCCTAAGCGCAAAACCCTTGCCCCAAAACCCGAAACCCCAAGCCCTGAGCCCTAAATCTGTAGACCCTAAACCCTAAACCCTACCTCCGCAGAACTTTTCTGCACTGACCGCATCTTTGGCAGCAGGCTTTGCGGGCGCCAGCGCGGCCAGCCTCGAGAACTTCACGCTGTTTAGGGTTTGGGGTTTAGGGCTTAGGGCCTTAATCCTTTCTAAAGGGATGTATAGTAAACAAACCACATTTCAATCAAGGAATATATATATATATATGTAGAGGGATTATTTTGAAAAAGCATCAACAACAGGTCACCTCATTTGAGCTGGAGTGATTCATTGTGGGTCCCGCCGTGGTTGCCCAGCCCTAAACTCCTGAGGCTCACTGGCCTTTCTCGGCGCTATTCCGAATAAAATGGTTGCTTCCTGGGCAAAGCCTGAGCTAAGGGATTACAAGAGTAACCGCCCCAAGGTACCCCCCCAAGGGTTAAAGGAGCTAATAAGGACTATATAGGGCTTAATAAGGCCTAATAGGGTTCTAAATCTGGGGGCGGGTACCTTTGAGGGGGTACTATTGCAATCCTTTACTGAGCACTGGCAACAAAGGGATGCACTTAGCTATTTTGTTGCTGGTTGTGTAATGAAGGGATGAAGGGCTCCCTACAGCAGCTGCAGCTTAGGGTTTAAGGTTTTGTAGGGTTTAGGCTTTAGGGTTGGGTTTAGGGTTTAGGGTTTAGGACAACTGACACTGCATAGGTCATTCCAACTTCTTTTCTGCCCTTGGTTCCCTACAAGCAAGTTGTGGGGATAGGGGTTCATGTTTCGGGCTTGCTCAAGATGCCAAATTCTGGTTAGGGATGGAAGTACATCCCAGCGCCCAAGGCTGCCTGAGAAAGGCGTTGCCTTTGACACTTCCTGGCTTGCCTGAATGCATGGTGGGTTCGGAAAACTTGGAAAACTTCAAAGTAAAGACCGCACCACGAATTCTGTGAAGAAACCCACATCCTAACCCCTACGTCCTTCTGCCAGGTGCTGCTTTTTTGGTAGTTCATATGCAAGGCAGTTGATTGTCCAGGGAATTCTCCGTCAGTGAAAGCGACTTGATGCCTGCAAGAGATTCTAAATACATATAGGGGTTATATAGGGATTATAGGGTATATATAGGGGTTATATAGGGATAATGGAAAAGAAAATGGAAACTACAGGGATTATAGGGGTTATCTAGGGGGGCCTAACAGCTTAAGTTCAAGCTTAACTGCCTTAAACCTTAACAGTTGGGTACTGCTCCCACCCAGTAACAGTCTATATTAGGGGTCCTATTAAGGGCTATATATAACTATACTATAATTACTATCCAACTGTTACTGAGGGGGGGCAGTATCCAACCTAAAAGCTAAAACCGACGTAGCCCCTAACCCGTAAACTCGAAACCTACATCATAACCCCTAATCCCAAGACCCAGCATTTCAGGGAACCTGATGTGAAAGTCGGAGGTGGCAATGTAGGGGTTGCTCTAAACGGCCTACAGGGGTTACACAGTGATTGCAGTGAAGACGAAAAAACAAGCAAAACCTTTGCACTGTGCAACTTGCCTTACAATCCTTACCGAAATGAAATGCAAGATGCCCTACATCATGTTCAACTACTTGTCAGGCCCTACAGCGCATTCAGTAGATGTCCCGACGGTTAAGAGCATGGCTTGATTCCAAAGATGCAGACTTTTGCACAAGGTAAAGGATCTAGGGTTCAGGGTAGCGCCTAGAAGTTCGAAAGTCGGTGGGCAGATGTGCGTGGAGGAGAGACCCTGGGCAGATTTTTTCAAAGTATCAGTCCCCTTTTTTGGGATTCTCGCCTGTTTGGGTAGGTACACATGGGACATCATACAGTTGAAACATACCCATGCTCTCTCTACCCTCCATTGCAACTTCTGCCCAGCCACAGCCGCAAAAGGGCTTGTCGTTCAGCATGCGCGCTGCGATCGTGCCCCACCTTCATGTCGGAAACAAGCTGAGTAGGGTCTTGAACTCTGGCTGTAGCCCTGTCTATACTCCAACCTAAACTAGGTTCCCCAGTAACGCCATTATAAGGGTACCCTTTTTCCTACTATTCTTCAGCTTTAATAAGGAGACCCCAAAATGAAAAGGGCAGAAGGGCAGTACTGGAGTACCTAGTAAAAGCCTATCAAGGAGATCTGTTAGCAACATGTAGGTTTCTGATGTGCTCTGTTCAGCCTATGTAACGGCTCCCTGGTGGGACCTGGAATCCACTGCATTCATCCCTGTCCCTCATCTTACTGGTGGTTATAGTTCCCCTCAAGTAGATAGAATATGGTGTATATGAGGATCTGATTTAAAAAAATATATATCTATCTAAAGCCATATTCTATCTACTTCAGGGGGATGATAGTAGGAATAAGGGCATATAATGTATAGGCGTTATGTAGAGATGGTCTTCCTTTATTGCCCACTCAACCGCCCAGTTAGTTATTATGACACTTCATGCGCGGCTCATTGTGCAAGGGAGGTTTCCTTGGGGATCTTTGGGTGCTATCGGAATCAGGAGGGGATTATCCCAGCACCTTTGCAGGAATAACACACGTGTGTCCACATGTATACATCTATGCGCACGAAGAAATGCCTAGAAAAAAATGAACGAACAGGTAACGATTGATTGAATGATGAGATGGACATATGGACGAATGGACGAACGGATGGATGAATGGACAAATGGATGGATAAGCCCTAGACCCTAAACCCTACCCCGAATTGGATGGGCAGATACACCCAGGGCGTTCCTCTTTCCACCCCAAACCCTAAACCCTACTTTGTAACCAACTTTAATGTCCACTTCACAGAACCTTTCGATAGCAAGCCCTGTCGTTCTGAAGAATGGTTGCTGCCAATCTATTTATATGGGGATATAGGATTCTATAGGGGTAATATGTAGGAATATTACCCCAAAAATGGAGAATCAAATGGAAAATAACATGGAAAATGACATGGAAACTGGTGGTATATAGAATAGAAAGAATATGGGGAATACATTGGGGTTCTCTAGGGATAATAGAGAAAAAAATGGAAGCTACTATATTGGTAGAGGCGCACTATTATAGGAAAGAAGGGTGACGGGGCGTTGGATATGGGGGTTCTACAAAGTCTAAAGGTCCTTACAATCAAGGGGGACCACCATTTTGGGAAGGCTTGCTCTCAGGATTCTTTAGAGGCTTTATGCGGATTATGTTCCAGATCAAGGTTACATTTGTAGTAAAAAAAATCATAGCGGCAATTCTTACAATTGTACTAGGGTTATGCCGTGAAACTTTATCCTCTCAACCCTAAAACCTGAGATGCTAAAATCCTTGTTGCTTTTCCCGCTCCTGGTTGATCTGTGCCCCACTGGCAGCGTCTGCCTGTAGCCCCTTAGGGGGAAGCTCCGGGCTTGGAGCTAAGGGTTTAGGGCCCGAAACCCTACTCCGTGCCGCGATCCCCCCGCGATGGTGACCTCAAAGAGTATGTAACGGTAAGTGTACTAGGTCCCTACATTGCCCGCTAAACCCTAAACTATTGCACTACCGGTAGTGGATGGGGGGAAGGCCTAAGGTGTACCATGGCGTACCGCCTGTACTTGCAGGTTCATTGGTGACCTGTAATCTATAATTCTAAGTTATTAGTTTAAGATATCCCCCATTTTTGGGGTGGGGGGCAGCCGAACTGGACTCAGAGTTGTGTTGAAGGCACTAGCTAGATCCGCGACCCTACCCCAGTACCCTGCCGACAAACTCTTTGTTGTGCTGCTGCTTTGTAGAACTACTCAACCCTACACCCAACACCCTACAGATAAATTCCGAAACATGAAACCCTAAACCCTAAATCCTAAACCCTAAACCCTAAACAAAAAAAAGGCCTTTCACTCTCAACTCCCATGGCTCTGAAATTGCAACAGCCGGGAGGCCCAAATCCTAACACTGCAAACTCAGTAAACACAAACTTAATCCTAAAACCCCTTAAACCACTTAAACCCCGAACCCAAAATCCCCAGAACCCTTTAACCAAACCTCAAACCCTAAACCCTAGACCCTAGAACCCTTTGACCAAAAACCCCAAACCCCAAATCCTAGAAACTCTGACTTCCCGCATTTGGTCTTTGAGCAGCCGGCGAAAACTGGGATCAGACTGCGCAGACTTCCTCTCCAAGGGATTGAGGTTGGTTGGTTTAGGGTTTTAGGGTTTTAGGGGTTTAGGGTTTAAAGGTTTAGGGTTTAGGATTGAGGGTGTAGGGTCTGGGGTGTGTGACTTTGAGTTTAAGGGTGTCTGGAGTAGGGTCTCAGGGTTTGGGGTATCAGGATTTGGGCTTTGCGCTTGGTTTGAGGCCTTCTAAAAAGCGCGACCTTGGTCTGCGGATAGAGGAAACACGTGGGCGGAACCCCAAATGGCGTTCCTTCGAAACTGTCGCCTATTGAAGAAGGGAGCTATAAGGGGTCTTTCATATTAGCTTGCAAGAAGTGGAGGTTCCGGTTGGAGGATCAATCCTTGATGTGACGCTCACGGAAAAACTCAGAGGTTGTAGCTTCATATGAGATTTGCCAAAGTTAGGAATCCTGCGTTGGGGGTCCCCATGATAAGGCTTATCGAATCTTTGGAGTATGTAAGAGGGACTCCTACATGCTACTCGCAAACCTCCGTTGCTGAGAAAAAATGATCGCAATCGAGGCAACGAAGTGTCTTGGCGGTCGGGGTAGGCGTAGACGTACTGCAAGTTGTGAGTTTGATCAAGATTGCTGCATCTCACTTAGTGCACATGTGGGTATGGTATGGTCAATGCTAGGGCTGCTAGGGTCCCTTCATACCCCACTGCAAAAAAAACTGGGTCGCTGTTAAGGAACTTAAACTAAGTTACCATAATGAGTATATATATAGTAAATAATAGGGTTTCCCCAATATAGTAACTTAATTTAAGTTCCTTAACAGCAACCCAGAAAAAAACTAACGCAGCAACCTTTTGAAGTGGGCAGCGCTCACTGCAGCTCTAACATACCTAACAGGCAGCAAGGGACCTCCGAACACCCGGTTTAGGGTGTAGGGTTTAGGGTTTAGGGTTTTTGCTCTGAGACTGCGGCTGAGAAGTAAGGACCCCTTTTTGGGAGGCTCTAAACATGATGGGCCTTCGTGGCTGGTGCATTGATCCTACCATTTCGATGTGTAGACACAGGGCCCCTTCATCTTGACAAACAGCCAGTCAAAAGAATCTGATGAATCCATGGAGGAGGGTAATCAACTCAATCTGCTGCGGGCATGAGCTTGCACAAGAGTAATCCACCTGCTTAGTTCTTCTCTGCTCGCCTTCACCTAAGCCCTATACCGTACCTGACATCTTAAACCTTATGCTGTGGAACTTGACGCTGGGGAACGTCACTGGACGAGCGCTTGTGATACGGACTGAGAGGATTTCCCAAACACCAAATCCGAGTCTTCAACGAGTGCGGGCCCCTTGTCAGCAGCCCCTCGCATGAGACATGATCATCCTGTTGAGGACGTATGAACCCTAATTAGTCAACTAGGTTCGAAAATGCGCACAGCTTATCAGAGATCCCGGGTAGAGCCCCAATTCCTGACCTACCTGAAAACCGTCTGAGCATCATTTTCCTGCTAGGATGCCTACATTCACGAGAAAGAGCCTCACAACATCCACCTCTCCGTTCGCCTTAGGGAAACTATGGTGCAAGGTTTACCAAGACCCTCCAATGGACTACCTTGAGGGCCTAAATAAGAATCATGACATACACGCCATACCAGACACAAAAAGGAACTACACTGGAAGGTCTAGGTAGGGTTCAGGCTCAAGGTTCAGGATTTAGGCCCAAAGGCCTTAAACCCTAAACCCTATATAACCCCTATAACCCCGCAAAAATACCCAGTGGCCCTAAACCCTGTATAAGCCACATAGCCCCAAAAAAGTTACCCAGTGGCCTAAATCCTAAGCCCTATGTAAACCAAAGGGAGCCAGGGCCTCCTCCCTCTCCGAAATCGCCGTAGCGGCTAGGTCTGCCACGAATTGACACGACCTTCTTGGTTTAGGGTTTAGGGCTTAAGTATAAATACAATCCGCATAAACCATATAACAACCTGGTTCTTAGTAAGGAATGGACAGGAAAATGGAAAGGACCATATTTGGGGTCTAGGGTTTAAGGGTTTAAGGGTTTAGGGGTTAGGTCTTTTTGGGTTTAGGGTTCAAGGTCAGGGTTACTCAGCCAACCCCTATAATAACCCGATTTATCCACATGTTAAGCCTGCTTACGAAGTCCCCCTGGCACTCCACGTTGAGGCGCTTTGGAGGAAGTATGACTGTAGGCGAAGGAGGCAAACTCTACACCCTAGCACAGAATACATCTTCAAATATTTAGGCTTGGTTGGCCTTTAGAGACCCTTGAAAAAGATTAGTATAGACGGGTATAAGGGAAATAATCAAGGAACCCAAAGGCCTACCCAGTAGAACTACTAATGAGAGATAGGGGATGCTCCTTCTTGTGTGTGTAGTGGGACTTAACATTGGAGAAGCGCTGAGGTTTGCATCCCTGAAAAAGTTCCTGTGCAAAAGACCCCACATCAGAGGAATCACTTGGCTGAGTTCACTCGAACGGAATCAACGATTTTCACACATACCCATAATATCCCTAATCCCTAAACCCTAAACCCAAGCTACGTACGGACCTATGGGCAGAGGTCCTGGAATGCTGCCGTCAAGTGTACACTCACTCTTGCTAATAGGAGACGGAAGAGTTTGTGCACTATTCCCAGGGTCATGATGGGGTAGAGGTTACCTAGGGATCTGTTGATTCATCTGTTACTGCCAAGAGTCAGGGATCAGGTTGAAGCCTAAAAGTGGGAAGCGAAGCTTGGCAAGCGCTCTACAAATTGCTAAATCATGGTCTCTGTCTCAATCTGCTACTGGCCTGGCACTGCTAGGTTCCAAAGTAACCCTCTAAGGAGACCTCAAAGGAGAAAAAGGGTACTACTGGGGTACCCAGACTGAATACCTGGAATGTCCGACTCGTGGGCCCGTACTCTCCCTCAGAACCTGACGGGTCTCCTACACAACTTTCAACAGGTTGCTGTAACAGAACATAATCTAAGTTACCCAAGCAAGAAGACCCTGTTACTTACTACATATCCACCTTATGATATCTTAACTTAAGGTCCTTGATAGCAGCCCAGTCAACGGCAAAGTCCAGATGGCCCGGCTCCAATGGTGATTCCTTGTCCCTTGCTCCGCGACATAACCACGAATCATGCGTATCTTTACCAGGGTGACACTACATCGTAGTGACAAGCGTTAGAAGCGCCAAAATGAAACCCACACAACCCATCTTCAAATCGTCATGCCTGGCCGTGATTCTTCAAGCGCACTGTAGGGTGAAGGGCGGATCTTAGCATAACTAAACATGGTAGTTTCCCCCCCCAAAAAAAAGGGACCCCAATATAGACCCCAAAATATTATAGCCCTTATTATTGGGACCCCTAGAATGGTACCCCTAATTTTGGGAAACTCCCTAAACCCTAAACCCTAAAACCCTAAACCCTAAACCCCTAATTTTGGGAAACTCCCACATGTTTTTTGAAGGACCCTGGATCAACCATACAAAGTCTCAGCTCAAGACCTGGCCCACAATCCTAGAATTAGGGTTTAGGGTTTAGGGTTTAGGGTTTAGGGTTTAGGGTCCCAAACCCTAAACCCTGAGGTGTCAGAGCCTAAACACCCTCAGACTCTAGACATGAAGGGTTGTATGGCTTGAAAACGCCACTGAGCATTCCCAGCTGCCATTCAATTTTGATTTCTCCACCCTTCTACATCTGCCTAACCTTTTGAACTGGGACCTAAACTACAAACCCTACCCCGCGCACAAGGATAGCTTCTAAAATCAGATCCCATTTTAGTACCCCTAAAGTATTAGGTGCCGTAGTAGAATCAATATCCCAAAGGGGCCCATTATTTTGGGAACAACCCATATCACTACACAAAGGTTCTCAATTGCAGGGTTGGG